TGTGTGTGTGTGTGTGTGTCTGTGTGTGTGTGTGTGTGTGTGCGCGCGCCTGTGGTTTCTTGTGCAAGAAGAGAGATCACAGACAAATGGACTGCAGATAAGTAGTACTCAGGGGTGCTTAAAAATGGGTTTGCGGATGATCGCCAGAAGGTGGCGAGCCGGTTTACTCCATCTGTCATTTCGGATCCTGGAAGGCACGCGTGGCTATTTCCTTTTGGAAATCTGCACTACGTCTAGGGGGGAAAACCTCCCGATGGTACAGCGCGCGTACTCACCCCAAGGCTCCAAAGCAAAAAAGAGCCCACCCCCAAAAAAACTCAAGAAGCCCTGCCTCCCATAATCATAGTTGTGCCAAGTGAGGTGATGGAACGACGCTGCTGCACCTGTCTGCAGGATTGGGCATCACTGAGCTCACGCAGCGTGTCCTCGAACGTCGGTCGGATGTTTCGAGCACCCACCGTCAATTCGGCACTCCTCTACACCTGGCAGCAGAAAGAGGCTGGCGGCACAATGCGCTGCGCAGAGAGATAGCAGAGACTCATGAAGGAATACGAACAAATCTTGATGAAGGTGTTCGCTGGGAGCCCGATCCTTTGTCACACACTATGCGAAAAAATGAAACTGCACTTGCTCTATCCCGAATCTTCCCCACCAAACATCGGACAGCCCCGTGCACGCAGTCGCCTGGGGAGAACCTCGCTGGTGACTTGAGTGCCCTCTTAGGCCCATGAAAGAAGAAAAGCAGCAGACAGCCAGCGGGCGCACGCTCACGCAACCCGAGATTGCTGCCTACCCATATTCTCTCCCTCTGAAGCCAACCTTCCTTCGAAGTCACTTTCCACCAGCCTTTGCAAAGTCCTCTCCCCCTCTCACGGTTTCACCCCGGTAATCCCTCAGTTTTGTTATTGGTACACAGTCGTCGTTCCCCTGTACCAGAGCCTGTTTTCAATTACCCCATCGGGAACCAGTCGGGGAGTCTGTTTCACTGGCAATGAGTGGCGGATGAGGCGGCGTCGGCAGGGTCGAAGGGGATGAGTGTGTGGCACTGGCGCTAGGCAGAAGGGTCGGGGCAATCAACATAGGTACTTTGGGCGAGCATGATCAAGGCTCATCCCGTCAGGCCGTAAGACGCGTTCACAGTTGCAGCTTATTTCTGGAACAAGTCTTTGTTTTTGCCATAAATACCATCAAGTGGAGAGCCGAGCGTCAGGTCATGAAAGTGTTGCCCGCCTGCTGCTGGCCGAGAAAGCCGACGCACAGCAGGCTTTCGCAAAAACAGAGATCACACCGCTCCACGTCGCAGCTGCACGTGGGCACTTGCCGGTATTGTTGGCCCTTCTCGAAGCAAAGGCGCAGGTCAATACGCCAAACTCTGCAGGAGCATCCCCGTTGCACTGTGCTGTTGCGAAGGGGCACACCGCGACTTGCCAGGCTTTGCTCCAAAGTTCTGCGGAGGCTAACAGCATCTGTCATGATGGGAAAAGCCCTTTACATTTTGCCGCGTATCAAAGTCTCGTTGAACCAGTGGAGATGTTGCTCGCGGCTCACGCTTCTGTAGACATGGCGGATGCAGCTGGCTACAGTCCGTTGATTTTCGCGTCCCGTGAAGGGCACAAAGAGGTTGCCCAAGTCTTGCTGGAAAGAAGGGCGGACGTCAACATCTTAAGTTCAGATAATGATGGACCTCTGCATGTAGCCGCGGATCGAGGTCATGCAGGCGTTGTAGACCTCTTGCTCCGCAGCCGGGCTGATGTACACGCAGCAAACGGTGATGGGCTGACGGCCCTTGACATGGTTGCCATAGACGGGAGTGCTGACATCGCCGAGTTGTTGATTGGCAGTGGCGCCACATCCAGGTTTTTGGTTCATGGTGGCGTGTGCCCATAACAATGCTCGGACTGGAGTTGGCAATCGAAGAGGCAAAGACTTCCTCCAACACCGAAGCCAGCGAGGTGAAAAGCGTTCGTTGCCGGATCATGAGCTCGGCAGTTTGAAGAAACCACGCTTACTGCATGCCTCAGTCGTCTTCTTGCAGCAGCCTGCCAGAGACGCTTGCCTTCATATCGGGTGCGACATGTTTGAATGCGAGGACATGAATCCTGCCATGTGGCAGCATATCAACATTCTGAAGATTGAGCGCGTGGAGAACGGAATGCAAGAGGATGGCAGTGCAGAGCCATACTGCAAGGCATGTTTTTTTGTTTCCTTTGGCCTTGCACCTTCGGATAGTTCTGTCCGACTCGTCCCCCCAAGCAAACGCCTCCAAAATCATATGGAGAGGCGCTGCAGCGCGGCGTGGAGAATCAGGGAGCGGTTCGGCAGTATACGGGAAGAGTGACACCATTTTGAGAGCGAGTTGCTATTTTGTGGCCGTGTCGCGCGGCAGCACCATCAAGACTGAGGTTCCATTCATTCCAGGATTACACACGCGTTGGGTTTTCCATGGCTCAAGTGCGGTGGAGACTTGGAGCAATCTCTTGCAGTGAATAGTGCCCAGGTTTTTTCACTAAGAGTATGTGGTTGCTGGCACTGACTATGTCTTTGCCCAAACGGCCGGGCACGACAAAGTCTGAGGATTCTATCGTCTCCAATCCCATTTCAGGCGGGCTGCATTCTGCTTACACAGGCGATGTCGCCGATTAGAGAAGGCAAGTGCCCATGTTCAGCGATGATTCGTGAGAAGCCCTCTGCTGCAAGGCTTCCAGCCCTTGATGTCTGGAACTCGAGGAAATGCGCTTTGGGGATCTGGAACATACTTCGCCCGTGACGCCAAGCCACTTGCCTGTGACTGATGACTGGTGCGCTTGCTTGCTTTGCATGCCTGGCAGTTGTGAATTGGCTTCGGTCTCAGGACGAATGCGAGAAAGTAGTTGTCAGGCACTTCTCTTCTTGTTTTTTGCCTCCCCGAGGTCAACTGCTTCTCTGGCTTTGTCCTCCCAAACTAAAATCTGCGCTTCTAGACAGAAAACAACGTAGTAATGGTACCATTTGCAGTAGTGCTGAGGGCTTCTGGTGCATTAACGTAGGCACTTGCAGTGTTGAGATGTAGTACTAGTAGTACTAGCAGTAGCCGTAGTGGTAGCCGCCCCCCCTCTCCCCAGCAAAAAAAAAGTAGCACTCGTCGTCGTCGTCGTGGTTGTGGTGGTCGTCGTCGTGGTCGTGTCGTCGTAGCAGTTGCAGTAGTGGTAGTTGTCGTAGTAGCTGTAGTCTACCGCTGCACAAAAAGCACCAGAAGTGGTAGTTCCCAAGTCGTCGGGGTGGTCGTAGTAGTAGTAGTGGCATTGGTAGTGGTGGTGGTGGTGGTGGTGGTGGTGGTGGTGGAGTGGTCGTCGTAGCAGTATAGTCTACCACTGCTATTGTTATTCATCCTACGACTATTTCTGCGAGCTTTGCGCTGCTTAAAGGTTCAGCCCCCCATTGGCAAACACACAGCTCACGCGATGGGTTTGCAGTGGGCTCACATTGATTGATAGTGGTTGGCCGGCAGCCGTGCGCCCCCAAGAATCAAACATTGCGGATACGCCGCGGGCTTGCGTCGTGACACTCCCCGTGGGATTTCTTGAGGGTGGGCACTCCAAGGATACTCGGCAAAATTTTCCATGGGTGTTCAGGATACTCCGTTGCTAGGGTGTGGGCAATGTGGGCAACGTGGCACATTGGGCAATGTGGAGAATGCGAACGTGGGCAATGGGGGCAATGTGGGCGGCAGGACTCTCTGTGGGCTTCTCTGGGGAGGGCACTCCAGGGATACTCGGCTGAGGGGGATTCTCTGCGCGTTTCTCTCGGGGTAGTTCCCATGTCCTGGGTGGTGGTCGTAGTGTAGTAGCTGTAGTGGTCGTGGTCCCCAGACCAAAAAACACGCGGCTTCGCGTTCGCCCTCCTCGGTCTCCATATAGACAAGCCAAGCCAACTGCAACAGGTACGTTTATGACGGTGGTTTTTGCAGTCCTTCGATTGATGGCAGCCGGCAAATTCTGCAGCTTTGCAGCAAAGTGTTTATACGACAGCAACACGCCGTCTCTCTTTCATGGCGTGATTTGGTTTAGAGAGCTTTGGGCATGGAAGTGACCTAAGGCTTTGCCTGCTCACGAACGGGTTTGTTTGTCTGGGAGGCTCTGTTGGCCCTGACATTCAGGCTGCTGCTTTGTTTTGCCCTTGCAGAATTTCTGACAGATCCGGAGCACAAGGGTGTGCTCCCTTTCCGTCAAGGTCGTCACCGGTGACTGTGTGGCAAGCAGTGATACGCACCGAAGAGTCGAGAGACATAAATCGTTTTGGTCATAGCGATGACTGCAAGGTACAATGCCTCAGTAGATAGCCTCTCCAACCCTGAGATTTTCGCCCGCTGCTCAGCCGATGGCCTTGCCATGACAAGTTTCTTGACAGCGTGGCTGGGCGATCCTGAGGTCACACAGTCGCCTGGCGCAGCATATCCTGCCTATGTCATCACCTTCTCGTAGGTTGCACCGCGACAGTCGCGACAGCTTAGCAGTGAAAGTGATGATGGTCCTTACAAAGTCGGTGGGTGTGTGATATATGAGTCACATATGCTTACAGCTGTGCTTGCCCTGTTACTGCCACTCTTGTGGGGAATTGCTTTTGTTTACAGTCTAGTTTTGTGGATCTAGCCTGGTTGATGGCACATTCGCCACTTGGCCACAAGATTGCCGGCACGAGTTCCGTCACCAGGCTGGAGCCAGTCTTTAACCTATGTCGGCCTGCCCAAGGCCTCAGACTTTGACAAAGTCTGATTTAGGGGGGTGCTTCGCAAACGTGAGCTGCCCCGCTCTTTGCAAGCCCGCGATCTAGCAATGGTCTCGGCACGTTTCGGCCTCAAGCCCAATGATTTGGTACAGATCAACTCCAAAACTGGACATCTTACTATCTAACACGTGATCTCAGTGCCGGACAACCCAGGACAAACCAGGTGCTTGCTGTTTCTCGACGTGTCTTCCCTCCTGCGTCAAGACCACTTGCGAGAGAGCTATCCCTGCGCCAAGGTGGGTATGCCTCCTCACAGAGGCGAATGGGGAAGAGAGGTTGATGCTTGGAGCTGGGTCGAAACACCTCGTTCTTGCTGAGATGCATCCTGATGCCTCACCCGGCTCAACGTGACTTCGCAGCATAGCCCCCTCTGTAAACACTGGAGTTGCTCACTTGTCTCGGCTGAGAACTCAAGCGAGACTTTAAAAGTCACTCCCAATCTCCAGCTCAAGTACGCCCAGACACCATTTTGGTCAAAAACAACCTTGCTCTGCTGATGTCTAACTGCTGGGCTTGGGGTGTGCAGCAGCGGCTGGCGAGCTCACCGTGCGCAGAGCTGGTCACACTGTACGTCCGCTGCTGTCGCCAGGCCTGTGGGTTTGCCAA